TATCCATCCATCCATCTATCTATCCATCTATCTATATACTATCTGTCTATCTATCCATCCATCTATCTATCTATCTATCTATCCATTTATTATCTATCTATCTATCCATCTATCTATCTATCCATCTATCTATCTATCCATCTATCTATTATCTATCTATCTATCCATCTATCTATCCATCTATCTATCCATCCATCTATCTATCTATCCATCTATCTATCTATCTATCTATCTATCTATCCATCTATCTATTATCTATCTATCTATCCATCTATCTATCCATCTATCTATATCTATCTATCCATCTATCTATCTATCTATCTATCTATCTATCTATCTATCCATCCATCCATCTATCATTTATTTATTACATATACAGCATTCTGCCTGCATGTGTGCTGTGTGCCTGTGCGCCAGAAGAGGGCACCAGATCTCATTGTAGATGGCTGTGAGCCACCATGTGGGTGCTGGGACTGAACTTGGGACCTCTGGGAGAGCAGCCAGTGCTCCTAACCTCTGAGCGTCTCTCTAGCCCCGGTGTTACATTATTTTTTAAGTTGGTGGTTAACCTGGGAGGTTCTTTTCTTTTCTTTTTTTTTACACAGACACACTTGCTCTCTCTTGTTCTAGTTTCTAGGTGGAGGTCAAAAAATAACTTTATGGCATTGATTCTCTCATACCATATGAAATCTGGGTGTCAAACTCAGGTTTTCAGGGTTGGTAGAGAAGCCTTTACTCACTGAGCCATGTCACCCACTTTAACTTAGAAGTTCAGGAATTTTTTTACAGTTGGGTATGAAATTATACACTTTTGATCCTAGCATTCTGTAGGCAGAGGCAGGGGAACCTCTGTGAGTTCAAGGCTAGCCTAGTCTATATAGTGAGCTACAAGCCAGCCAGAGCTGCACAGTGAAATCCTGTCTCAAAAGAATAATTTTTAAAGACTTTTCACTTCTGAAGTTTTGAAAGAATTTGTAATTTAAAAAATGGTTCTTCTATGGCTGACTCACTATAAACTCTTTCCCTGCCCCCTTTCAGGTCTTTTGGGATAAGGTCTCACTGTGTAGCTCAGACTGATGATCCTCCAGCCTCAGCCTGAGTACTAGAGATACAGCCACGTGACATTGTGCCCAGCAAACCTTTTCCTACTGCTAATTCTACACTTTATGAAATACATGGTTATCCCACATAAAGGAAATCAAGCCCTTGGCCATGGGTATGAGTCTGTGGCCGAGGCGTTGGGATCGATCATTAGCACTGCCATGAGTTGAATTATTTGGCCTGAGGAATCCTATATAAGTCTAAGTAGCAGAAGAATTATGATGCCAATATCATGAGATGCCTTCTATGATCTGGCGAACCCGGCTCCTATATTGAGTGTGGTGACACATGCTGGTAGTTCCTGCTACTTCTGGAACAGAGGCGGAGCCTACACAAAGTCTAGGACAGCCTGGACAGAAGCCCCATCTCAAACAGGAGGAAACAAGCTGAGCAAAAGAACCTGACTCTTCATGAGTCTTGGAGATAAACATGTACATTTTCCTGAAAGTTCATTTATGAATACAAGGTCCATGATTTGACCCGGACCCCATGGACGGGACAGTGAGATAGAGCAGCAGAAAAAGGCACCTGCCATCAAACCCGATAACCACAGTTAAATTCCTAGGTCCCACACGCTAAAAGGAGAGAACTGACTCCTGCACACTGTCATCTGACACACAGAGACTGAAACCAGGCAATGTTTTGCTGTAATACTGATCTATATCCTGTCGTGTGTAACACTGTGAAAGCCTGTCTTTGCTTTGCTGAGAATCAAAAGGTCAAGTGGATTTCCCCAGATCCCTATTTTGTAATATTGCTCCTTCTGTTTTCTCCTTACTGACAGTAAGAGTGACCTCTAGGTGGGGAGAAGCCCATCTAAATCAGCTCTTCTCATGGCTCCACACTGCCCACTCTGCTGAATCAATCTCGCTCATGCCCCTATGTAATCCTAGCACTTGGGAGGGGAAGACAGGATGAGCAAGAGTAGACAGTTAGCCCAGGATACATGATATGTGAAACGATCTATCTTACCCCAACATCTTTTTACCTGGTGAATCTGTGAGGTGTTCTTGTTTCTCTTCTCTATCCTGAAATTGAATTAAATGTGACCACAAGGCAGACTTCCCCTGAAAGCACAAGACACAAAATGTCCACTTTAAAGAAACAATTAATAAAATTTTTTTTTTTCTCATTAAGATCAGTGATATTATATGGGTCACTGAAAAGTTTGGGAACTCAGGTTCATCCATTCTTAGCTGTGACTCCCCCACTCCAGCACCTGCTTTGGTAATGCTGGAGACTGCAAACGAGACGTTTTACAGTAATACTGAGCCATGTCCTTAGTTTTGTGTAACACTGAGCATCTCATTCCAGGTGTTGTAAGAGTCTTCCTTGGCTTTGCTGAGAATCCTGGCAACAGCCTGGCAAAGCATGCTAAGAAGCCCAGGGCAGTCTTGAAGAGACTTGGCTCATCTGTGGCTCAGTTGTATGTGGCTCAGTTATAAGTGGCTTAGTTGTATGGAATAACCTTGGAATTAGAAACGAGCTGCATTTGTGTATATTGATACACAATATCTTTAGATTTATGGAACAGCAATGAGGAAAGAAAGTTAGAAGAGAAAAAGAGAAAGGGGGAGAGAGGGTAACCTAAAACAAAAGCAAAGACCATTTGAATCTCTACCCTGAATTACTAAGTAATTTAAAATAATAAAGAACTATTCATTTTGGTAAGCATTTTTTTTTTTTTCTGAGACAAGATCTCTCTTCAGATCTTGCTTCTGCTAAGTAATGACATAACAGAGCCCCAGACCTTAGCACAACTGACTCCAAAACAGAAGTACCATTCAGACTGTAAAATTCAGCACATAGCACCACTGGACAAAACTAAAACAAAGGTCTAATTCAGCAAAGTCCACAGTTATGGAAAAGTCTCTGAATGCACCAACCTTTATTTTTGGCTTCTGTAGTTCTGCTTCTGGCTAAGTGTTCTTGCTGACTGAAGTATGTTACCTCAGGACATGGTTTTTGTACTTAGAAGCTCACCTGAAGCCGTGTGGAGGTGGTGCCCACCTTTACTCCCAGCACTCAGGAGGCAGAGGCAGGCAGATCTCGGAGTTGGAAGCCAGCCTGGTCTACAGAGTGAATTCCAGGGCAGCCAAGGCTACACCGTATAACCTTGTCTCTCCCCCCCTTCAAAAGAGCTCATCCCGAGGAAGGCTCATGGCCACAGTGGAATCCTGAACACCCTGTGTAGTCACTGGCTGGCTAATAAAGACTTTCTATTGGCTTATACCCACATCAGGGCAGTCTTCTCTAGTGAACCCACAACAGTGGGACTAAACGCATGCACCACCACATCTGGCTTGGTTAGCACTGTGTTTTTTATTTTAAAATATGGACAAAAGTAGAAATTTACTGTAATTAACAGAGAATATAATTTCTGTAATGTGTACAAGTTTATATTATACTTTTAAATTTGTCAGGAAAGATGTTCCTGCATAGATTTTTTCTTTCTTTCTTTCTCTCTCTCTCTCTCTCTCTCTCTCTTTCTTTCTTTCTTTCTTTCTTTTAAGATAAAGAGTTTCTCTGCATAGCTTTGGCTGTCCTAGAACTCACTCTGTAGACCAGGTTGGCCTTGAACTCAAAGAGATCTGCCTGCCTCAACCTCCCGGGGTTAAGATGTGCTCTACCACTGCCTGGCAAAAGACAAGGGGTTCTTTCCTTCTTTTTTTTATTTTTTAAAAAGATTTCTTTACTTATACATATGAGCACTTTATTTGCATGTAAGCCTGCATGACAGAAAAGAGCATCAGATTCCATTATAGGTGGTTATCAGCTACCATGTGGCTGATGGGAATTGTACTCAGGACCGCTGGAAGAACAGCCAGTGCTCTTAACCACTGAGCCATCTCTCCAGTCCTTCTTCCTTTTTTAAAAAAAGATTTATTTATTAATTATGTCTACAGTGTTCTGCCTCCATATGTGCCTGATGGCCAGAAGAGGGCGCCAGATCTCACTTTAGATGGTTGTGAGCCACCATGTGGTTATTTGGGAACTGAACTCAGGACCTCTGGAGAGTAGCCAGTGCTCTTAACCTTTGAGCCACCTCTCCAGGCTGATTACAGATTTTCTTCCTTCCTTCTTTCCTTTTCTTTCTGTTTTGAAAGTCTTACTGTGTAGGCTTAGCTGTGTTGGCAGCCACTTTGTGGCACAGCCTGCGTCCCCACCCCCAACCTTCTCTGCCTCCCAAGTGCTGAGATGAAGGGTGCATGCCACAATGTGTGGCCTACATTATGTTTCTTTTGCTGGAACTGATGGCCTGGGAGCTGTATCAATCATCTTGTGGCATCTTCTCCCACATTTCCCCGTCCTGTGTGTAGCTGGAGGAGGACTGTCCGGAGCTCCTCCCCTCTACCCTGTGGCCACAGCAACCATACTCCTCCAGCCCCGTCACCTGCTGAGGAAGCTTGTCATTCTTGCCTCCTTCCTTCCTTTTGTTTTTTTGCGACAAGGTTTCTGTGTGACCCTGGCTGTCCTGGCAGACCAGGCTGACCTGGAACTCAGAGATCTGCCTGCCTAAGCCTCACAGATTAAAGGAGTACACCACTACTGCCTGGCCTTCTTTCCTTTCTTAGGACAGGGTCTCACTATGTAGACCACATTGGCCTCCAACTTACAGAGATCCACCTGCTTCTGCTTTGTCAGTGCTAGAATTAATGGTGTGAGCTACCTGGAACAGCCCCTTGGCATAGGCGCGTCACCTGGCCATGCCAGGAGCGCCTCTTGAGCTAGTTACCTGCTTGACCTGTAGGCCATGGCTCCATATCCTCTCCAGGAGGTCACAGAGGCTAGCGATCAAGGTGTTTTCTTCCAAGCCAGTGATGTTTGCTTCGCCATGGCCCAGTTCCACTGCTTCATGTCCCATCTTCTCTACCAACATGCGTTTGGTCTAAAAGCATTATGAGTAGTTACATATTACCACAGCAGTGAAACTCAAAACCATGGAGTCAATCGCTAGATCTAGCTTCCCTTCATTATAACTCTAATTACAGATTTTCAGTCACAATGTCTTTTTAAAAAAATTTATTTATTTTTATTTTATGTGCATTGGTGTTTGATTGCATGTATGTCTATATGTGAGGGTATCAGATCCTCTGGCACAGACAGATAGGTATGAGCTGCCACGTGGGTGCTGAAAATCGAACCTGGTTCCTCTGGAAGAGCAGTCAGTGCTCTTAACCGCTGAATCATCTCTCCAGTCCCCAGTCACAATGTCTTAATCTGGTGGTCAATGGTTGGAGTAATAACCTTCTATATTTTATTATTATGTCAGAGAAATGAAAGGATACCAATGAAACAATAAAGTAATATTTGTAGGCATTCACATTTTGAAAAACACATGTAATTTAGATTATTAACTTCTGTAATAGTGTAATTATTCTAGAACTTCTGAAATGCACCCTCTGACACCAGCACCTCATTCTTCCTCCACAGCTAGCCCTTTACTGACTCTAGCTAGCATCTTGACAAACTAAAGCTGTCTCTACTTAAGCCCAAACCACAACAGAAATGAATAGCTGTCCTGTCCTCCTGCCCTCTCCCTTCCTTCATTTCCTTCTTTTTGAGAAGTTCCTAGTTCATGAGTGAACTAGGACCCCTACCTCCCTCCCTCCCTCTCTCTCTCTCTCTCTCTCTCTCTCTTTTTTTTTGTCACAAGGATGTACCAAAAAATGAACACCACCAATGTTTCAGGTACATTGATTTGCACCAACCTTTGCTGGTCTCATACACACCAAGGCAGAAAGTGCATAGCTCCTCTCGGTAGGATCCTGTCTAATTCACTATATACACGGATATTGAAAATGGTGCTTTCTTGAATATGCTCACGTTACAAACAAAACAAAACCCTGAGTTCTTTCATTTATATTGCTATCCTATATAAATGCAACTTTTGTGGGTGGAGAATTATAGGTAATATTCAATTACCTATAAGATCTTTTCTCTTAAGCACATACCACATGTCTGAGCACAAATAAGGCTTAATACATTTATATACATAACCACAAAAATGTGTTGCTTTTCACATCAGAGAGTAACATTCTTCACATAACTTATGAGTGTCTTAATATTGTGCTGCAGAGAAAGACCATAGCTAAAGGCTAGGGAGATGGTTTGTGAGTAGGAGGACTTGCCACGCAAGCTTGCCCCCATACACGGGTTCCGACCCTGGGAACCCGTGTAAAGCCGAATAAGGTGGAACACGCCTATGCTACTATGTACGATTTGGGATGAAGTTCATAAGCCTGCTATTTTGAAACAGCTGTAATAGTGCAAGAAACAGAGAGGTGCATACATACCTTCATTCTGCATTCTTTTAGTAAGCCTTCTACAAACTTCCAGTTGGTTTGTGCAATCACAGCAGGAGAGAGATCTGACAGTTTTGGTTGCCTCAGGTTTTTTCCTATGGTTCGTGCTTCTTGCATATATTTCTAAAAATCAGGAGTATTTTAACGTATAAACAGCATATATTATTTTCTACTTTAAACTTACACGTACAAATACAACCAACAAGATGTAAAAAGGCCGTAAGTGTATGTGTCTCACTGCAATGAAGACTTTAGTGCTCAGGAACACAAGCAGAGGACACGAGGGTTCCTCCTGATACCAGTCGGCTCTTGTGGAAGGAGAGTGACAGAAACTTACTAACTTGAGATTCATTAAAAAACACGAGTTTCACTGAGTTTAGTCTTTTTAATGGGAACACCAGAACAATGATTAGTTAGGATCAAGGTACGAGCCAAAACATGTGGGTGTCTAGTCTAGTCTGCGGGTCTCAGGTCACTGGCTTGCTCTGCTCACTCCTCTCAGCAGAGACCTCAAGCCCCTCAGCCTCTGAGGGTACTACTCAGCCAAACTCTCAGCCCTCATAAACTTTCAACAGTACCAGAATTGTGTTGCAGCTGATTTTATGAGTTCAATCATCTCAACGATATCGACTGACGTTGCATCCCCTTGTATGATGCATGCCAGAGTGCGCAGAAATGACTGAAAAGCATGATGGGAATGAGGAGTAAAAGGAGCCTGCTAAGCTGTTTCTGTATAACCTTCCTTGCCTTCTTCTACAATCCCTAGCAATGTGCTCAGAGTCTTCTCTTGACTTTGTGGGAACAACAGCAACAACAAAGCTCCAATGTTCTTGACTTTCTTTACAGAATTTCCATAAAAGCCAAAACCGGGAAGGGTGTAGCTCAGCGGGCAGAGAGCTTCCTTCCCATCACAGGCCTTGGAACCCATCCTGAGCACCACAGAAACCACGTGTGGCGGCGCACACCCTTGGGAGGTGGGGGAGGAGGAGCAGGAGTTCAGGTCTCCTTTGTTTACATGGCAAGCTAGAGGCCAGGCTGGGTTACTCAAAACAACAATAAACAAGCAAACAAACACCCCCCTCGCACACCTGGCTAATGCAGAACCATGCTCTCCATGTTTGCACACCTGAAAAAGCTCCCTTCGACCTTTGCAGCAAAATCACAAGGCAGAATCTCCAAAAGACCCAAAGTGTCTTAAGACTGCACTTTTGAAGAACTGATCCAAATCATAGAGTAAAACTAGTATTTTTTTTAACGGAGAGATGGAACACTGGTGAACTGACACACTCACAGGAAACCTAGTGAACACACAGGCACGGATGTTAATCTATCCTTATCATCACAGGGGATAATCTGTTACTGTAAAAGATGTGCAAAATCCTTTGCATTCCTTAAATGTGTGAGAATTTGTTTTCCCTTTAGAAGAAGATTAACCTGCTAATCAGTCCTGCCGACTAGGGGTTAACTGATTAGTTTCCAGTGTTCATGACAAAAGGCAACATTAACCCAATAGTCTTTTCCAGTCTAGTAATTATAAAGAACCACTGAAAAAGAAATACAATTTCCAAGTAACAGCCTCTCCAGCAACGATGTGTACTTTTCTTTAAATACTATTCAAGGCAAGAAAAAGGCGGGGATTGAAACAGAAAACTATGACCAGTAGGGAAACCAAGTGCAGTGGGTCCTGGTCCCGGATAACCCACCTGAGAAGCATCCCTACAAGAACTGTATCTTCATAATCTATTGTTATTTGCGGGCAGAATTAAAAGACAGATATAAAGACTGATAGAAATAAAATACACACGTGGGAGGCAGAGGCAGGTGGATCTCTGTGAGTTCGAGGCCATCCTGGTCTACAGAGTAAGTTCCAGGACAGCCAGGGCTATACAGAGAAACCTTGTCTGGAAAAGCAAAATCAAAAAACATTATCTGAAGCAGATGGAAGGAGGGAACTGGGTGGGAGAAGGTGTGGGGAGGGTCATCTCTGGGACAGGGGAGGTTCCTAGGAGTCTGTGGGGTGACCCTAGCACACTCCACAGGGAGATATGGAACCTCAAGTTGCCACCTTGTATAGCCAGGTGGGACTTCAGTGGAAGGAGGGGGACACCCATACACCCTAGACCCAAAATTTGTCTCACCTACAAGAACTGCAGGGATAAAGATGGAGCAGAGATTGAGGGAATGGCAAACCAATGGCTGGCCCAACTTGAGACCCATCCCATGGAGAGAGCCAACCCCCAACACTACTGATGTACTCTGCCATGCTTGCAGACAGCAGCCTAGCATAACTGTCTACTGAGAGGCTTCACCCAACAGCTGATGGAAACAATGCAGAGACCCACAACCAAACAAGCTTGGGGAGTTTTGGGAAGAAGGATAGAGGGAGCCGGAGGGGCCAAAGGCCACCACAACAAGACCTACAGTAAACTAACCCCTGGGGGCTCACAGAGACTGAGCCACCAACCAAAGACCGTGTGTGGCCTGGACCTAGACCCCTACACACATGTAGCAGATGTGCAGCGTGGACATCATGGGGTCCCCTAACAATGGGAGCAGGGGCTGTCTCTGACTCTGCTGCCTGCCTTTGGATCCCTTTTCCCTAGCTGGGCTGCCTTGTCTGGCCTCAGTGGGAGAGGATGTGCTAAGTCCTGCTGGGGCTTGGGGTGCCATAGTGGGTCGGTACCCTTGGGGGGCTTCCCTTCTCTGAGGAGAGGTGGGAATAGGGGACTATGAGGGTGTGACTGAGATGAGATGGGGGAGAGGGCTGGGACCAGGCTGTAAAGTGATTAAACAAATAAATAAAATTAAAAAGATTGGTAAAAATAAAATTTTAATGTTTAAAGAGCTTTTCCACTGGGGATGTAGCAGAATGCCTGGCACAAAATTGGATCCCAGCACCATATAAAAACTGGGTGTGTTGGGGTTGGAGAGAAGGCTCCATGCTGACTGCTCAGGGCTTGAGTTTGGTTCCCAGCACCCACACCAGGGAGTTCAGCCAAGTCTAACTTTCGTATTTATCTGATGTTTCTGGCCTCCACAGGCACCTACACAATCACACACAGGAATATAATTTAAAAATAGAAGCCAGGTGTGGCGGTGCACATCTTCAATCCCAGTACTAGGGAGGCCAGCCTGGTCTGCACAGGGAGCTTCATGGCAGCCAAACCTACAAAGGGAGACCGTACCTCATACAACGATCACTACCACCATCATAATAACAAAATAATTATAATCAGATGTTATTATTAACAGCAACAATAATTTTTTTTAAAGATTTACTTATTATTTATACAACATTCTGCCTGCACACCAGATCTTACTGTAGATGGTTACAAGCCACCACGTGGTTGCTGGGAACTGAACTCAGGACCTTTGGAAGAACAGTGAGTGTTCTTATCCTCTGAGCCATCACTCCAGCCCCAACAATAATAATTATTATTAAAAACAAACCAAAAAAAAAAAAAACAAACAAACAAACTGAAGCCATTTTAAGTAAAACTTCCATTTTGAATATGGGTAAAATAAAGTTTAAGTTTCCAAGACCTCCCTGGGTAACTGACACCCTGGTTGGCAAGCCGAGATATAAATGCTAGGCAAGCTGTCCCATCACAGTTAAATAAGCCAACCAATGGGCACAGGGAAAATATCCCCAGGAAGTCCTCTATCCCTGCATGCTGACTGGGGAGAAATGTAACTGTAACCTGGCAGATGTTTGTGGTTTTCAGGCTTAGATGCTCTGTAACATTCCAGCTCAGGGAGGAGGGTGGTCAGTTCATCTCCGGAGTCTCTTCTTCATCCCTGATCTATCAGCAGCAGCCTGATTATAATAAATTTTTGTTTTCTGTATCAACTTGGTGTTTGAATTGGGCTGGATCTAGTGGACCCTGTAACAGTGGTACATGTCTTTAACCCCAGCACTAGGAGGTGGGAAAGACAGCTTGGAAGCTCAACATTTTTTTTTTTTTTCAGGGCTTTGCCTGCCTTGGACTTGCTTTGAAGACCTACCTGGCCTTGAATATATATGCCTCTTAATATATATGCCAGATTGAGGGCAGGCTAGAACACATGAGACCCTGTCTCAAAACAGAAGCAGAGAGCCAACTGCTCTTGCAGAGGATCTCAATATGGTTCCCTAGCAGCTACCAACTGCCGGTAACTAAACTACAAGAGATTCAGTGTTCCTTTCTGGCATCTGAGGGTACTGTACTTGAAGGGTTCAAGTTAGCCCGGGTATAACTCCATTTTGAAATAAAGAGCCATCTTGACTGGAGCTGAATTCAGGTACCAGGAAATATTGCAGAATGTATACTTGGCAGAAAACAAAGTTAACTCTCCTAGTAACAGCCTCCAGGAAATATCACAGAATAAATACTTTATAGAAAATAGAGACAATCTCCCTCGAAATAATCAATGAGAATCAGGGGAGGGGGGAATTCTCCCCAATGTTTCAGATATAATTTAGAAAAATAGCCATTGTGATTCTATGCCTTAGCAATTGTGATTATGTGCCTCAGAGAAGGTCATCTCGCCCCTCTAACTTTTACCCAATCCTGTAACATCAAGACATGCCCCCCCCCACTTGCTGTCATGGAAACATATGCCCCTCTGCTTGCTTCATGGAAACCCCCTGCTCACAGACTTTCCCTTTAAAAATCCTGCTCATGGGCTGGAGAGATGGCTCAGCCGTTAAAGGCTAGGCTCACAACCATAAATATAAAAATCCTGCTCACTCAGAGCTCAAGGTCCCACTTCTCTACTGCTGCATCAGTGAGACTTGGGTCCTGAGTTTGATTGTTCTCATAATAAAGCTCTCTTGCTCTTGCATCAAGTAGTCTCCTGGTGGTCTCTGAGGATCCCGTGATCCTGGCATTACATATTCACGTGGCATACACATACCCAGACTGACTGACCAACTGACCGGCCAACAGACAGACAGATAGATAGACACCCCCCCCCCCAACAGCTGGTGTGGTGGCACACACCGTTAATCCCAGATCATGGGCAGGAGGGAGGGAGAGGCATGCAGATCTCTGTGGGTTCCACAACAACCAGTTTGATATTCTGTCTCAAAAAGAAACAAAACAAAACAAAACAAAAGCCAACCAAACAAACCCAAAACAATAACAACAACACAGAAAACCCAACACAGTGAAAATAAATAAAGCAATAAGTGATGGGAAATATGTACGAAATCGAAATCTTGTCCAGCAAACACTGACTCTGGAACTAAGCACTCTTTAATCAGCCTTATCCACAATTTTCTAATAAATATTCTAACCTTTTAACCGGTGCTAACTTACTGGAAGAGCAACTACTGTAAATAAACAAGCAACTGGATGAGGAAAAGCTGCAAGGCAGAGTAAATCTTAGCGTGTCTGTCCTCAGGTAGCCAGTGGTGAGGACAAACTGGCACCATCAATGGAAGGGGCTTTAGATGGACCTTAGGAGTCCTGTGCTACCGGCTCAGCTCTGCCTTTGTTGTCCACTGAACTGTGGACAAATTTCTTGCTTGTCAGCTAAATTATGTCATGCTAGATAAGAGGACCTTAAAGATTCCTCTTAGCACTAAGATTCCACAATGAGGAGTCAGTTTTCTGAAACACAAAACATATACCAGAAAAGTAAACATCTAGCAAAAGAAAAGCTGATATCCAGCCATTTCTACACTTGGAAAAAAAAAATGCTTAAAATAAAGAATCTGAAGGACATGATGGTCCATACCTTTAATCCCAGCACTTGAGAGGCAGAGGCAGGCAGATTTCTGTGAATTTAAGGGCAACCTGGTCTACAGAGTGAGTCCAGGACAGCCAGGGCTACAGAGAAACTCTATCTTGAAAAAAAAAAAAAAAAAGAAAGAAAGAATACAGATTCCCAAAGACCCAGGATTTGAATGTCAGTTTCTCTGTCAACAGCACAGAATTACTTATGTGAGCACATGCCAGCACACATAAGCCCTAAGTACGAGATGAGACAGAGATCAAGACACACTCCATGCACTCTCGTGTGTGTGTGCCACTCAAGAAACAGCAAAGACAAGGGTCAGGAATCTTGTGAGGTGCTTTCAAAGCAAGGACATACCAGGCAGCACTCAGAGAAGGACTTTTTAGGAAGTCGTGCAGGAGGAGCTGGGCCCTGATCCCACTCCCAGAATGCCATGGAGTTCTGACAGACCACAAGGTCCCCCGAAGGCTAAGATGATGGCGATGTTTCAATGACAAAAAAGTAAAAAAAAAAAAAAAAAGGAAAACAAAGAAAAGATAGAGAGGCAAAACCTGCATGCACATGGTAAGACCACAGCAACAAGAGCGGGGAGCAAAGGAAAGGCAACCAACGAGAAAGGCTTCAGTTCTTAATGTTTAAAATCACACTTGTATGAAAACATTTACAAGAAGGGAGGTTTGGAACGATGTTTTCTGTTGTATTTCTACATAAATGAATTTATAAAGTAGTTAACAAAATTTCATTTGCATTTTCTTTTCATTACAAGAAATAAAATATAATTATTTAAACATAATTTAAAATTTATTTTCAATGAATACAAATGGATCTTAATCTAATCAGCTCTAGTACATCTAAAAATGGTGTCAGCCAAACTAAACTTGACAAGAATGTCCAAAAGTCCAGCTTCCAAAAGCAATCAACAAGAGTCAAAGTTTCTTGCTTCAAGATACAGACTGTATCTTCATCTTACAAACATTGAGTTGGAGAACTGTGAAATCGACCAACAAAATCTTTTTGTCTTTTAAATTTGATGCTTAACCTGTAAATTCTCTTTAATTCTTATTATGTCTGGATCCCAACAAAGTATTGCGATCAGATTTCTTCTTTTAACACTAGCATGCTGAATACTAAAACTTTATGGAGAACAATAAAAGATACTTGAATATCTTTGCAATAAACTTAAAAAAAGAAATGGTGTCAGCAAGCCACCGAAAAGATTACGTTAATAAAGTTTTACTTTCTAACCTTAAATTGTATTGGAAACTTAGATATATGTGTATCTCAATGTTTCTCCCTTCAGTGGACCTCCTGACCAAATGTTTGCCCCAAACAACACTGTCGTTGTGACCACTCCTGGGTGTGCTTTGAGACGGCCATCATGCACCGCGGGCGTGCAGACCACGTACCTCCCGTAGGTCACTGTCCAGCCCGATGTGCTCAGAGTGCTGGCGAAGGCGGTCCTTCCTGCGCTGTGCTGTGGCGCTCCTGCTCACCCAGCGACTGGGGAACGAACACACCCAAGACAAAGGAGATTAAGAAGCCAGCCAAATAAAAAGATGGAAAATTTATTTTCTTAAAAACAGAAAGAATGAACCATTCTCTACAAAATGCTGGTAACAGCTGTTTCTTCTTTTTTGCTTGTTTTAACCCTGGACAATCTTCCTGGGTGGTCAGTTTAGAAATCATAGCCTCCTGTCTCCTGTGCCACCACACATGGAATCTTTCAATCAGTTCTTTTCAGGGAACTTTAGATAACATTTAATTTACCCATTCAAAGCACTCAATCTAATGGGTTCTAGTATATTCACAACCATCACCACAATTAACACAATTAAAAATGGAGATTGGGGACTGGAGAGATACAGGTTGCTCTTCCTGAGTTTGGTTCCAGCATCTATGCTTCGCACCTTTAAGCAGCCTGTAACTCCAGTTCCCAGAGATCTGATGCTCACTTCTGGCCTCTACGGGCATCCACACACACTCAGATGTTAAAAACGTAAATAAAAAGTTGAAATTTTAAAATGCTGGTACTAAATGCTAAATACACACACACAATAACAATTCAGCTTTCTATTTTTTTTTTTTTTTTTTTGTTTGAGACATGGCCTCTCTGTGTAGCTCTGGCCGTCCCTGAATTCACTATGTAGACCAGGCTAATCTTGAACTCACAAAGATCTGCCTGTCTCTGTCTCCCCAGGGCTGGGATTAAAAGTGTGTGCCGCCACGCCCAATAAGCAGCCAGATCTTAATTCAAGTGGATCCTTATGTTAGATGTATACAAGCCTCCTTGCTGTGTTCCAAGCAAGTATTATAGGTAAGTATTTTTAGCAAAGAGAATATTCTCAAAGTCTTTAATTTATAACAATGTAAGTGCAGTGTCCTAAAAGAAATAAATTTAATTTTTCACTTAAAAAGGATTATTTTAAAAAATTCTTCTCTCATATATTATACCCCAACTGCAGTTTCCCTCCCTCTCCTCTCCACGATTTATTTTTTTTAATAACGTGTGTGTGTGTGTGTGTGTGTGTGTGTGCGCGAGCGCGCGCGCGTACACATCAGCTCAGGTGCCCCGGCGTGGCCCAAGATCCCCTGGAGCAGGAGTTATAGGTAGTTGTGAGCCAAGCTGGTCCTCTGCAAGAGCAATACACACTTTTAACCACTAAGCCATCTTTCTAGGCCTGACTTTCTACTTTTTAGGAGGCACCTACCTAAACTTAAGCTAGAATGTGACTACCCTGGGCTCGAAGACTGCATGATCCGGTTTCTATAATTTGGTAGCCTGTATTATAAGATGTTTTATTTCACATGCACTGGTGTTTTGCCTGCATGTTTGTCTGTGTGAGGGTGCTGGATCCTCTGGAGCTAGGTTGGACAATTCTGAGCTGCCATGTTGGTACTGGAATTGAACCTTGGTACTTTGGAAGAACAGCCAGTACTCTTAATTCCTGAGCCTTTTCAGGAATTAAGCCCCAACCTTAGAAATCTTAAACATTTCCATCTAATGTGCTAATGCCCGCTTCTTGTTACATTAGTTTTTCTGTAACTTGATTCCTATTTTAAGACCTCTTGTGCTCCTTTTTCTTTTTGTTCTGGCCTAAAACTCAAGGAAATTCATATAAAATATTCCAAAAATAGTGCCCTTTCCTGTTTAATAATACTCTTTCTTCCAACCTTGCTCCACTGAGCCCCAAATCCTGGGGAAAACTGTTCTTAATCCCTTGCTCTCATGTCATCCCAGTCCCAGATTCCCTTTAGCCACGAGTATCACTGCATGCCCATCCTTATAAACTCTTTTTCTCAGCAAAGCCTTTTCACTTTTCTCCCAAATGAATGTAACACAAAATGTGATTCCTACAGTTTGTTCTTATAAAAACTACATGGCATAAATAGCTTAAATAGAACATAAAGTAATAGAAAAAATGTACAAAGATCCAAGTGTAGATCTTTGGCCTGGAGGCCTTCCTTGTAAACAGCACTGTGGGTAAAGGGCCACCAAGCCTGATGACCTGATGAAGAAAGAAGGCTGACCGGTAGAGGAATTTTAATCTGGAAAGAGATCCCATTCAAAGACATCCCAGGAGAGGAGACAGAGGCAAGCAGATCTCTGAGTTCAAGGCCAGCCTGGTACAGAACAAGTTTCAGGTAAAGAAAAGCTTAGGTCTAGGCGCAGTGGTACACGCTTTTAATTCTAGCACTCAGGAGGCAGACATATGCAGATCTGAGTTCTAATTAGTGAAGTTCAGTCAGTTAAGTTGTGTCAGTGAGTTGAGAGGCAGTGCAGTTGAGTTGATGGCAGTTCAGTTAGTGGAATTCAGAGGCAGTTTTACTGGGAGAGTTTTACAGAGACAAGTTGAAGAAAGAACTTCAAAGCTAGACACAGGTGAAGACAGAACAAGCCAGAGCTTGAGAAGGAGCCAGATTAGAACAGATTGCTAGAGTTAGTTGGAGGCCAAGGAGAGCTATTCAGACAGAAGCTGAGAGAAGCCAGTTTGAATCAATCAACTCTTGGAGGAGTTTGCTGAGTTGAACCAGCCAGCCAGAAAGAACTAGAAAGGGTGACCTCATTCAGCAGTAAGTCTCAGAGGCTGAAAATATTCTAGACCTAAAGAAGACTGTACAGAGGCTCGAAGCTTCCAGGACTAGGCCTAGGTGAGCAGACACAGGCAGCTTGGAGATGACAGTTACATCAGGCAGATAAGGTACTTTCACAAAGGCTGTCGCCTGGGCTCTGCCTGCGCAGCACACTGGCACGTGTGCACTCTTCCCAGTAAATACAGTACTGTCACGAAAATAGCTGTTAACACAAATTTCACAGGGACTAAAAAACTAGGGTTAATCTGGGCATGGAGGCACACATCTATACTCCTATCTCTTGAGACAAGAGGACAGTGAGGTCCCTCCTAAGCTACTTGATAAGATTAATAGGCAGGGTGGTGTAAGAATATGAAAAAGTACAAATATGCTCTACGGTACAAAAATATTCTATTTAATTTTGTTTCCAAAACAGGGAAATGAGCAGTGTTTAAGAAAATTACTGTGGGAGGAGAGCTTGGGGCCACAGCACTCCCGGCAGGAGAGCACAGGGACGCAGTGCCATCCATGAGCTGCCAACAACACGGTTGTGGCTGGGTGCCCAGGGCAGGGTGCTGCACAACAGCCTGGAGCTTGTGCAGAGTCTGCCCCAGACCTCACGACACCCTGACTTTAAGACTTCGTGGTCCATGTTGATGTCTGTGACCCCTGCTGCCACCGGAAACCATGCAGATGCCCATGGTCTGTGTTGTTGCCACTGGTTGCCATGGATCCAGCTGGAGCTTTTTTGCAGTGGTATCGATGGCTGCAGACTCATAACTGAGAATGAGGCTGCAGGCTGCTGTGACCCCCGAGCCCCCACCACAAAAAGAAACATTCTAGACAGGAAGCCGCTGAAGACAGCTCTTAAAGGTTGTGATAAAGATGCTGAAGTGAAGCTGATGGCTGCTGGAGAGGGTGGTTGTGTTGGGACTAGACAGGAATGCTGGGAGTTTGACCATGCTCCAATGTATATATGAGCAACACAAGTGAGGCTTTGTGTGTGTGTGTGTGTGAGTGAAAGGGTGGGAAGGTGGACCTGGGAGGAATGAAGTATGTGATCGGGTGTACTGTATGATATCCCCAAATTGTGAATAAAATCTGCTGGGGGGAGGGGAAGAAAATTACTATGGAGCCCATACATTCCTGGTCTTCAGTAATTTTTAAAAATTAAATTTAAATCTTATTTTATGTGTATGGATGATCTGCCTGCATGTGTGCCCACATGTGGGCCTGGGGCCCACTGATGCCAGACGGTATTGAGTCTGCTCAAACGAGAGTTACGGATAGTTGTGAGCTGCCATGAAGGTGCGGGTAACTGAAGCCATGTCCTCTGGAAAAACAGTAAGTGCTCTTAATTGCTGAGCCATCTCTCCAGCCGCCACGACATGATTATTTTATAGCCAATATTAAACCTCATCTATTAAGCATGAATTTACCAATGCTGACCACAGTAGAAGAAATACTACAGACTCCTTGTCTTGTATATTAAATCCTTGGTAACAGTCGACCGAGTATTTGTAAGTTTAAATTTCTTTATTCTAAAATTATATCTGAGTTTTTTTTTTTTTTTTTCTTTTTTTTCGAGACAGGGTTTCTCTGTGTTGCTTTGGCTGTCCTGGTCTTGCTTTGTACGTCAGGCTGGCCACGAACTCACAGCGATCCCCCTGCCTCTGCCTCCCTGAGTACTGGAATCACAGGCGTGTACCACTGTGCTCTGCTTATCCGAGATTTTTTTTTTCTTCTAGAAAAAAATCTGCCTGAAATGTAATGTTCAAGCTTAGTGAAAGTGGGTAACTTTATGATTATAAATACAATTAAAAGTAAAAAAACATGGCTAGGGCTGGAGAGATGGCTCAGCGGTTAAGAGCACTGTCTGCTCTTCCAAAGGTCATGAGTTCAGTTCCCAGCGACCATATGGTGGCTCACAACCATCAATAATGAGATCTGGTGCCCTCTTCTGGCAGATGTAAATGCAGATAGAACACTCATATACATAAAATAAATAAATCTTAAAACAAACAAACAAACAAAAAAAACCATGGCTATAAGATTCCAAAACTGAAACCCTTTGTTTTAGTCAGTGTTTGTTGCTGTGAATAGACGTCATGACCACGGCACTCTTATAAACATTTAACTGGGGCTGGCTTATAGGTTCAGAGGTTTAGGCCTATATCATCAGGGCAGGAGGCACGGCAGCATGAAGGCAGGCACAGTGCTGGAGAAGGAGTGGAGGGTTCTACATCTGGATCAGTCAGAAGTGGGGTGACACTGGGCCCGGCTTCAGCTTCTGAACCGTCTAAATCCACCTCTGTGGCACACTTCCTCCAACAAAGCCTCACGTCCAGTCATGCCAGCCCCTGAGTATGTGGGGCCATTTTCAATGAAACCACCACTCCTCCCTCCTAAGTGCTCTGTTTTCCTTCACTGCTTATTTTATTTTATTATTTATCTTATTTGAAAAAGATACTCAGGGGTCTCTAGCCTCATACTTGTGTAACTCAGGCTGTTCTTGAAGTTGGGATCCTCGTGGCTCAGACTTCTTGGTGCTAGGATTATAAGTGTAAGCCACCTCGCTTGCTATAAATCATATATACCTATATATTTATTGCTGTTTTCTTGTGATTGAAAATGTTTTACTGTTTTTGCTATGTTCATTTCATTGCTAAATAATTTCTCCTCTGAAACAGTCTATGTAGCCCAGATTGGCCTTGAATTTGGCGGTTACCCAAATGATCAGATTACAGGAATGTAGCACCAAGCTTGATTCGCTGTGAATCTCTAACCAGGACAGTCTGCCTATACACTAGTGGTGCCGCCAATACTCAGCGAGTGAATGAATGGAAACTATAATGCTATCAGAGGGAAACAAAACCTGTTAGGACAACAGCAACTCATTTATAGCAAAGTGATTCAAACCATTGGAATTAAAAAAAAGATTTTATGTATTTAGGAGTTCTCTATCTGCTTGTACACCTGCAGGCCAGAAGAGGGCAGTAGAGGGTATACATGGTTGTGAGCCACCATGTGTTTGCTGGGAATTGAACTAGGGGCCTCTGGAAGGACAGACAGTGCTCTTAACCTCTGAGCCATCTCTCCAACCCACAAATTAGAACATTTTGTAAGTAAAAGAAAAATAAAATGTGAGATCTAGAGAAATAGCTTAGTTGGTAGAATTCTCTCCGGGCATGAAAAACAGGCATCTCCTCTCCAGCCCTACATGAAGCAAGTGCGGCACCCTCCAGACACTGAGGGTTAGGGTGACATGTGCTCAGCTCTACCGGGACTGTCCACCCACACCCTGCAACCAGGGACCACTGCAGAAAAGAGTGAGCGGGCAGTGGTGGCACACGCCTTTAATCCCTGCGAGTTCAGATCCAGTCTCACCTACAAAGGGAACTCCAGGACAGCCAAGGCTACACAGAGAAACTCTGTCTCAAAAAAACAAACAAAAAAAGTGAAAAAAAAAACCAAACGTGTTTGAGGGAGAGCAAGACAGAGAAAATGAAAAGTTCAAGAGCCAGACACTGAGAAGGGCTGCTGCAACATGGCCACCCACCCAGGACAGGCCTATTTCACAAGTGAGTTTACTGACTGCAGAGCACAAGAGCATGCCAGTCAAAAGCCCGGCTCTGCCTGGGTGAAGAGTGTCAGTGGGGGAGGGAGGGCCAGTTTCTCTCCGGCTGACTGCCCTACTTGTTCACATACTACCAGCACTGATTAGACTCAGTGGGCTGAAAAAACAGACAAACCAAAACCAAAACCAAAACCAAAGAGAACATTAGCCAGGGAAAGAGTGTATGTGCATGCGAGTGCGTGCATGTGTGTGTGCGTGTTTGTGTATACCAGGGGCACTGGGGGAATTGTTGGCCAAAGAGGTGTGTCGGACACAGGGAAGACTGGTGGAGAGCAAGAAGGGGGTGAATATGATCAAAACACATAGTACATATGTATGAAATTCTAAAAGAATACATAGGAAACACGTGAAAAAGAAGTTCAGAGCAATTTGAATTGAAAGTCTAAAGCCAGTCCAGGAATACAAGGTCATGTCACAAAAGGAAAAAACAACAACTCAGAGTTACTCTTGTTGGTCTTACAGAAGACCTGGGTTTGGCTCCCAGCATGCACACAGCGGCTCACAATCACCCAACTCCAGGTCTAGGGGACCCCATGCCTCTTCTGACTCCCACCAGGCAGGCATGCGGTGCTCATAACATACCTGCAGCAAAACACTCAGTACCTAAGTCATTTTAAAAAGGGGATATACTGAACTCCACAGTAAATTTGTAAGTGCAGTGTTTGCTTTGCTTTATGACACAGGGTCACTGTTTTGCCTGTATTATCTTCAAACCTGCTATGCTACTCAGGCTGTCCTTAAACTCACAATTTTCCTAGGTCCGCCTTTCAAGTGTCAGGGTTACTGGGAAAAGTCATCACATCTGATTACTACTAAGATAGTGTTTTAACATAGTCATTTAAATGTAGACCTGGGTTTTAGCTCTAGCAGTTGGGGGAGGGGGAGACTTGATAAAAAGAAATTAAAAAAAAAAAAAAAAAAAGATGCTGAGGAAGAGCATGTGCTTGAGGCTGGCCTGGGGTCAAGAGTGAACTCTGTTTACTGAGGCCCTGTCAGCAACAGTAACAAAAACACAAATTTAAAAAAAAGAAACAAAAACAAATGTGTCTATTTACAGTTCTATAAAAAACAAAACAAAACAAAACAACCAAAAAACCTCTGGTCTTTAAAGTCTTTTTTTTTTTTTTTTTTTTTAACATAACATAATTAAAAGTCAAGTGCCTAAGAGTGTGGATTCAATTTAAGTAGATTAATGTAGTCTTAAAAAGATGTAAAAGATGTTTAGTGATCACACGCTGCCTAGCTAACACAGGACAGCATTTACCTCCTTCATCCAAGTAGTCACTTAAGGAAAACATGTGCTTACTTGTTACTGGCTGGTCCTGTTGCCAAGACACCGGACTGTAACTTTGGAAAGAACCCTTGCTCGTATTTGCCTTGACCAATTTTCATATCAAGCAGATGTGGGTGGATTGCAGTATGATCCATTTTCATCAGTCTTTGCTCAATTGACTGGGCTATAAATTAAATTCATAATAAATTAGAAAAAATTTTACATTTTAAATTTAAAAAAATTTAAAATTTTATATCATTCCTACAAAAAATACTGCACCATACACTCATGCACCTATAGAAAACTCAGTTGTCCTGACACTCTGAGAGATTTTATAAACATCTAGGCAATCAGAAATATAAGTAGAGAAAGGTTAAGTGAATATCAGATGATTAATTCATCTCCCTCCTTCCTTGCCTTCCTTCTGATACAGGGTCTTAGTCAGTGACTCTGGCTTCCCTGGAACTCACAGTGCTGGGATTAAAGGATAAACATTTTTTCTTAAGTGGGAATCCCAATATCCTTGAACCAAAATATAGGTCTAAGCACAATATTAAAAATACAGTAGCCAATGACACTCTTCAGCTGGCCCTGTAAAGGGAAGGAAGAGGTGGGCCCAGCTGCCCTACCCTTTATTTCTTTGTGCGGAGATGCATTAAATATTCACAGCTCACCATCTGTGAAAACAAAGAGCTTCGTGAAGGCTATTATCTCATTTTAGGTAACGGTTACATTCTTAGTAGTAGAAGTCATTTATGTGTGTTTATTAGATTAAGAGGGAAATAAAAAGCAGGCATTTAAAAGTGTCCAGCTTAAAAGAAAAAAAAAAAAAAAAGACCTTGAACTTTTCAAGAATAAAATAGGTCAAAGTTGAAAGAGGATTTCTCAACATGTCTATTTTAAAATACCCTAAATTTAATGGGGTTGGAGGTTATCTCAAAGAAAGTGATTTACTTCTCTAGTAAAACAAAACAACCCAGATTTTTGTTTTTTGTTTGTTTGAGACAGTGTTTCTCTGTGTAGCCCTGGCTGTCCTGGAACTCACTCTGTAGACCAGGCTGGCCTCAAACTCAGAGATCCCCTTGCCTCTGCCTCCTGAGTGATGGGATTAAAAGTGTGCATCACCATACCCAACAGGAAGTCAGATCTTAATTCAAGGTGACCCTTGATCTGTGACAGCTTGGCATGTTTTATGCTAATTAGAGGTTAAAGCTGAGATTACTGACTTCACTGAAGTTTTCCATTCAGGCAGCAGCTGCACAAGGGGCCCACAACAGAATGGGAGGCAGTGTTCTAACATAGCCCTGGCTGTCCTGGAATTCACTCTGTGGAACAGTCTGACCTCGAACTCAGAGCACAGAGATTCACCTGCCTTTGCCTTCTGAGTGTTGGGATTAAAGGTGTGCACAACACACACACAGCTGGCCCATAAGGAGAAAATTTCCTTAGTGGTGTAATTGACAATACCATGCTCCTTAAGCAACTCTAATGAAACTCACAGATCAGAAAATGGTTCAGCAGACAAGGAGATACTTGCCACCAAGCCTGACTACCTAAGTTTGATCCCAGGCCCACACCATGGAAGGAGAGAGCTGACTCCTGAAACTTGTCCCCTGACTTCTACATGTACCAATGCAAACTATTATCTGTGAGAAATGGGGAAGCCATAAACGTTTTCAAAAGTTTTTAAATTCCTGGGGGAACTATGGTCTTAACCTAATCTTACCATCAGACATGCTAAGTCTACAGTGGTCTTTATTCAAGAGGTTTATGTAAGTTCTGTGGTGACAGTGGATTGTCAAGCTCCAAGAGGCAGAAAGAAAATGTACTTTAACTGGTAAGATTTTCCAGAGGCACATTAAGCTAGAAATTTGTACTTAATTTCATTTTTTAAATTCTGTGAGAAAGAGAGGAATGAAATTTTAACAATGAGGGTTTCACATAACTATTAATAGCATCGGAAGTCATAATTCTTTGAGCAAACAACTTCACTTGTTCTGTCTCCTCAGTTCCTAGAGACACAGAGGTACTCGCCTCTTCCTGAAGGAGCTCCAAGGAATTGCCCTTACACATGGAAACAGAGCAATGCTTTGAAAAGTACAAGCACTTCATAAAAGTTATCAATTAATACTTCTTTCCTTAAAAATGCTAGTACAACTTTATTACTCCCATAACTGAGCTAGCCGAATAAAGAGGGGAGAGTAAGCACGCAATAAAAACAGAGCAGAAAAAGCCACATATTTCTTGTGTCCTTTTATCCAGCAGGAAATGTGGTCTCAAATAAAGAGTGCCACTTTTTACTGGCTGGAAAGAAATAGAAGAGGCACTTGTGTGGTATGTGTCTCTATTCAGCAAAGAATGAGGTGGGAAATAGGCACAGATGTACAAAACTACAGGAATCCCTACCTTTTGCATATTTGTTAATGAATAAACCCACTAATAAAAGATTAAGGCTTTAGATATTAGAAACCAGTGAGATCTGGATCCAACCTACAGCCCATCAATAACTAGCTACAGAACCACAACCTTTAACCTGTTTCCTAATCTGTAGGGTGAGGACAGTAATGAAGCAACAAAGCATAGCTGTGCATATGCCCATCACTAAGAATACATGTAAAAAGCATGTCCAAGAAACACTGGCATAGTGACTGGCACATAGGAAGGATTCAAATGCTGGCTATGATTATTTATTTAACAGAATGTATTACACTACTAGACAAGACCAGGAAAATTCCTCATTCTTTGAGGAAAACTGGTGTTAGGGTTAAGAGACCCTTTAATTTGAATAAAAAAAAAAATCCAGCGATTTAATTTCAAGAAATAAAACTATATAAGTAACTGTACCACAAAGCAAGTATGTACTGTTTTAGTTATATTAACCAGACAGCATCTCAGATGTCCTTTTGGTTTTCTTTCATTTTTATTTTAGACAAGATCTTGCTACACTACCCAGGCTGGCCTTAATCTTAACTGGTCCTTCTCTCTTGGCCTCTGAATGCTAGGATTTAGACATATACCACCATGCCCACTTTTGGGTTTACTATTTTAAGTTAATAGCTAGAGATAAGAGGTGGCAGGTAAAAAGGCAACATTAGCAGCAAGAGAGAAATTAACATTTTTTCCAACACAAGAAAATAACAAAAATCTTTATCTTCTTGTCAAACTCTATTTATTATTATTATTTTCTATTTGGAATAAAGGAAAAGAAATGTCCATAGGAATAGGGATTCACAGAAATCTAAAATATGAAACCACTTCTCGACAACACTAGGATTATTTATGATGTCCCAAAATGAAAATTAACTTTGTGGCCCAGCAGTACTGTCCCACATCATTAATCCCAGCATTCAGGAGGCAGAGACAGCCAAATCTGAGTTTGAGGCAGCAAACTACAGAGCAAATTGCAGGATGGCCAGGGCTACACAAAAAAACTGTCTCGAGGCCCTGTGGCCCCACCCCACAATTAACTCTGTGTTGTAAAAGTCAACAGTTTATAAAGAAAGATCCTTCCTTTTTTAACAAAGGTGTATGTACCTGCTTCTTTTAAACTGCTGCATTTCTGGTATATCGACGTCCGCAGGGTAGGGGCCCTCACACTGTACAACCTCATCTTCTCAATCCGAGAGTCAAAGACCCGAAGCAGAGGGTCCTTCTCTTCCCACTGAGACATGATCTTATTATCAATAAAGGTGGCAAACATCTGTGTCTCAATGAAGCGTGAAAGAAACGGTAGGCACGGCTCCGGCTGGTCAGAGAGGAAAGAAGCCTGCAATGAGAGAATTAGGAAGTTGTTACTTACATGACATGACCTTAATATTCTATAAGGTGAAACTGAATAGTTTGTTGTTAAGGTTACTACTTTTCAAAGTTATAACACAAAGCTGTTATCTGATATTTAAAAAGTCTTGCAAATCTGTTTATCCTTTCCTCGAAATTTACAAATTTTTAGGAGCGTTAGGGCTTTAGCACTGGTATTACCTTTCAAAACTGATTTAAATTAGTACCCTGATGACCATTACGCTGTATGGAGGACATCCTAAGGAGTGATGGCGGATGAGCTGCTGCACACTGGACACTCAACCGTCTACTTCACCTACCATTACATTTCCATTCTTGTGCCCAGGGAGTAATCTCTTCTGTTCCTGGCCTAGAAGGCAGCCTCTCCCACGTCTGCATGCTGAGCAACTGACACACGTGCCATACATACATGCACATATGCACATATCACAATAACCTGCATATGTTTGCACAAGAGCTTAAAATGACAACATGGTATTTGTGCTATGGGTAAAATTATTTTGATCTTGAAGATGTTTTTCTAGGCTCACTCTTCTTGTTAACTCAAGAAGAGACTCCTTCTATACCTGTGTTGACACAATTCCATGCAAAAAGAGAATGAGAAGATAGGGTGCCTTCAAGAACACACAGCTGTTCTTTCCTCTGATGCTTGTCTGATGCAGTAACACTGCTGCTTCGAATCCGAAGTGCTCACATATTTTTGTGGTCTTCAGGTTCATATATGATGTATGTAGGAATTCTAATCTTGGTTAAGATTAGCTCAAACAGCTGGGCAAGTGGTGCATGCCTGTAATCCCAGCACTGTGGGAGGCAGAGGCAGGGGATCTTTGTGAGTTTGAGGCCAGCCTGGGCTACAAATGGAGTCTAGGACAGTCAGGGCTACACAGAGAAACCCTGTCTTGAAAATCCAAAAACAAAACAAACCAAAAACAAACCAAAACTTTAGCTCAAACTTTTAAGTGAATTCCTACTTTAGTCACTGGTTTTGTTTTGTTTTTCATTCTTTCACCCTATAGTGTAGATGTAATGTGTCAGGTCCAAAAGGAGACAGAGGGGAGGACAGCTACCTCAATGCTCACCAGCTTCTTCCTAGCATATTTAATTTTTCTAGCTTAATAATTTAGTAGACTTTTAGTAAAAGCTTCTTTACAGGGGCTTCCATAGTTTAAATGTACTTACCTAAGTCCAAGTACCCAGACAGACTCAGTAATCTTTAGAAATCAATTCATCTCCTTCAATGTTATTCACAGGTAAACATCAAGTTTATTTTATAGGACAGATATAGCCCCACATTTAATAAATGGAAGAAACATCTGGCTTTTGATGTGTAGAATCTTGCATTCTATAAGATTTAAAATCAGGGAGCTGGAGAGGTAGCTCAGAGGTTAAGAGCACTAGCTGCTCTTCCAAAGGTCCTGAGTTCAATTCCCAGCAACCACACGGTGGCTCACAACGAAGATCTGGTGCCCTCTTCTGGTATGCAGGCATACATGTGGGCAAAACATTGCATACACAATAAATAAACAAACAAACAAACAAGCAAATAAATAAATAAGCATTAAATAAATAAATAAATCTTTTAAGAAATATTTAAAATCAACTAGAACTCAGCTTGCAAAACTACTATGCCCTGCGTATTTCCTTTGTGAAAAATAAGAATTATAGAATTCATCATGTAATTTCCATTTTCTTAGGGGTTATACACAAAGAATTGCACCTCTAGTATGAAACTACATAGATAGTAATAATGAACAAGGTACTAGGATATGAACTTAAATCAGAATTAGAAGTGCTCCAAAGATAGATCATGAATATATATGATTAGTTCTTAAGCTGGAGAAAAAGTATAATAAAAATTAAACAAAAATGAGAACAGGCCCTACAGCAGAAATACATTTGAAAACTGGTTTCTCAATATTAAAAAACTTGATTAAACAGGTTCAATTAAGCATAAAGTATACCAGTAAATGATGATGCACTTAGTATATTATCCTCTGTAAGAAAAAAGATCTGATGAAATCAGAAAACAGTCACTGATATTACACAAATATTTAGTAAATGCCTATTGGTCAGATGCTCCAAAATTAAACATTTAGCATCTTGGGATGTATTAGCTCCTTTGGGAGCTTCTGTATAACACGGCCTAGCAACAGAAACGATACTTGCTCAGAAATAAGAGGCTGAGCTGGTGGTCTAGAAGACTTCATAGCCCTCTCTAGTGCTTTTCTCTATTGGAGAAGTCTGGGTACATGAAGAACATTGGACAGAATACAGCCAACCTTAGAAAGGAGCTTCTGCAGGACAGTAAGAAGCTGTGACATTTTCTAGTCTCCTCTTGTAAGAACTTTGGAACATAATCTTAGACCAAGTCATGAAACTCAATTTACTCCTTTGTTCTTTTAAGTACAAAAGGTATGAAAATTAGGTTTATAAAACCAGTTCTTCCCTTTATATGAACAAATTATGACCTTCATCACTGGGAGAAAACTAAACTGTCAGTGAGAATTTTTTAGAAAAGGAACAGTCTTAACTTTCCCTAGACTTGGTCATATAACAAGAGTGAATAAGACTTGTGAAAATCAACTTCTTATAATTTAAGCACTGCTCACATACAGAAAATTAAGATATTATAGAAACTTAATACCCAATTCAAAGGCCAGCTTTATGAGCGGTCAATTTGCTCCTTTGTTTTTGAAACGGGCCTCAAGTTTCCCAGGTTGGTCTCAAACTTACTGTCTAGCAGAGGATGGCCTTGTACTCCTGAGCCTCCTGCTTTTACCTCCCAAGGATTTGCTTTCTTGTGAAACTATTTTATTTACCATAAAACACTTAAATGGTTGGAGGGGGGAGAGAACCTGTCTTAAAAAGGTAAAAAGATTAGTAATATAGGCCATTAATAACCATAAAGAGGAGAGCTATGGCTCTTTTTACTTTGTCAAAGTTCTGCATCTGTTCTCGGTTGGTCAGCCAGGACTCCATGTCCTGTGCAGTCTGAATGACAAACGCTTCATAATCGGCAAACATCTGTGTAAAGCGGTTGGCAAAGACCTCTCGAAGCTGCACGTTGAGCTGGTAGTCCCTCAATTCCGCCTCTTCACACTGCAGTTTTAAATCCTTTCCTTTCTCACTCAGAGAAGCTGAGAGGTCCATTTTTTCTACAGTCACACCGGTCCTCTTGGCAAGAGCCTGGAGGCGGGCTATTGTCTCATTGCCCTTCAGTATCTCATACACGCTGATGTTATTGGTGGGGACATTGCCGTTCTTTTTGTCATTAACCAAATCTTTCAAAACCATATTCTTCAGTTTGGTGGCACTCTCACTACACTGGAGGCTGCCCTCAGGAGGAATCCCAAATTGGAGAAGAACTTCAGATAGCTCTTGGATAAAATCCACTTTATTGGGGAACTGTGGGAATTCTTCAGGCAGTTCAATAAAATGGCTGTCAATATCCACGAAGCACAAATTAGCCTGAAATGGAAAACAAAACACAAGGTTTTGTGAACTTGTACAAGGCTGATTAAAACTTCAGTGAGTTCAGAGGGCTTCAATGTTTTAGATTCAGAACCAAATTATCTTGAGCTGTTTTTTGCCTCCTAAATAGCATTATTTCCCACTGTGTTTGGCCTACTTTATAAGTATCGGTTAAAATCCTTTTTGGAAATGTACCAATGAGAATTCCATCTGCTCTCCCACCAATGCATTGAAAAAATGCTTTGGTTTTTAAATTCCTTTGTTCTGTTCCTACAAAAAAATTCATGAAACTGTTATCATATTAGAAAATGGTACTTGGGGGTCAAAAATCAAGTAATAGGCACTCAAATTTGGCTCCAGAATAAACCGTCTCTTATTCCCTTTAAAGTGAGAACTGTATGTTTATGATGACATTTAAAGTAAAGAATTTTATTTGCTTACATATCCTCAATGCTAAGCCTTTGTAATCTGTTTCCCCCTCTCTGTTTTTTTAACCTTTTCAGATGGTGGCCAACATTCTAAGTCACTCACTTTCGGGCATCCTGTCTTCCAGAAGCCCCTGTCTCCGGAGGAAGACAAACTCTGCCTTTAAGTTTCTTTCTGAGTTGTCTTATTTATGAGACTAAGGATTTGCAAAAGGGACTCCCTAGTCCCTGGAAGTAATGTCTTTTTATTGCTGTTTCTTTGAGACAGGGTTTCTCTGTGTAGCCTTGTCTGGGACTTGCTTTGTAGACCAGGATGGTCTTGAACTCAGAGATCTGCCTGCCTCTACCCCCCTGAATTACAGGACTGCACCACCGTGCCTGGCTTAATAATGCATTTTTTACTTTTATTTATTTATTTTTAAAATGAGACAGGGTCTCAGGTAACCCGGGCTAGCCTCAAACTACCTAGGCAGCTGAGATTACTTTGAACTTCGGATCTTCCTGCCACCACTTCCCCAATGCTCTTACAGTTGTGTGCCACCATGCCTCGTTTATCTTATGTCATAAATATATATTTGCATATGTTATTAAATCGAGATCCTGTGTGAGACTTTGTCTTCCTCTTGTTATCCTCTCAGTCTTCCCATTAGGTCATTTCTCTCCCTACCACCGCCTTCCCTCTACCTTCACTGTGTGTGTGTGTGTGTGTGTGTGTGTGTGTGTGTGTGTGTGTGTATTAAAAAAAATCTAGATTCCATATAAAAAAGGAAAAAATATTTGTCTTTCTGAGCAGGCTTATTTCATTTAACATGATCTCTAGTTCATTCATTTTCTATCAAGTGACATAACTTCCTTTTCTGGCGGAATAAAACCCACTGTGTATGCAAGCTACATTTTTCTTATTCTATGGGTTCATATACAACTACACTGACTCCCTGTCTTGGCTAGCATGACTAGTGCATCAATAAACACGGAGGTGCAGAAATCTCTGCAGCACTCAGACTCAGCTTCCCTCGGGTGTGCACCCAGAAATGTTACAGCTGAGCCATATTCCAGTTCTATTTTTAATTATTTTAGGGACTTCCATATTGGCTCTAGCAATTGACATTCCCACAAGGAGAACTCGGTGGTCCTTTTTTTCTCCACCTGCAGAGGCCAGGGTTGTGGCAGGGGTGTTCCTGCATGGACACCTAGGGAAAGTTGCTGAGGCTGAAACAAGCTGGAGATCTTGAAGACATCAGACATGGAGACGCAGAGTTTGGAATTTTCCCGGCTGGTTTTTGGTCTTGCTTTGGTCCAGCATTTCCTCACTGTGCTCCCTTCCTTGTGCTTTGGAACAGTAATGTGTGTCTTATGCCATGATATGCTGGAAGCATGTGATTTTGCTTTTTCATTTTGATTTTATAGGGGATTACAGTTAAGAGAGTCCATGAATCTCAGAGGAGACTTTGAACTTCGGACTTTTAAACACTGTTGAGACTGTGATGTTGAAGCTGTACTAAATGCATTATGTTATGGCTACAAGCCTATAGGGGAAAGGAGTGGAATGTGGTGGTTTGAAAAGGTTTAGTCCCATAAACTCATGTGTGTGAATGCTTGGTCCATACAGAGCGGCACTATTAGGAGGGGTGGCCTTACTGGAGGAAGTGTGTCACTGTAAGGGTGGGCTCTGGTATCTCTTATATGCTTAGGCCACTCCTAGTGTGGCCCACAGTTTCCATCTACTGCAAGCAGATCAAGATGCAGAACTCGGCTCCTGTAGCACCATGTCTGCCTGCATGCTTCCTGCCATGATGACAATGGACTAAACCTCTGAACTGTCAGCCAGCCCCATTAAATGTTTTCCTTTATAAGAGGTGTTTTGGTCATGGTGTCTCTTCATAGCAGTGAACCCTAACTAAGACTCTCTCCCTTTCTCTCCCCGTCCCCTGCCCCAAATTACTCTTCCACATGTCACCATGCTGGGAATAGAACCCAGGGACTTGTGTATGTTCTAACTTGGGCTATATTCCCAGCATCAGAAGATATTCTTGAGTTGATAAAAAGGTATGACAGAAATCGCAAGTATTTTCTAACTTTGTTTATAACTTTGATTATTATATTCTAATAACTGTTTGAAGATGATACTGAAAATTCAAAAGGTCAAAAACCTGAATAAAAATCTGAGTGTTTTTCAGGTCCCTCAAAGTGGAAGACTCCAAACAGTCTTTTACCTTTTTTGTTCTGTACCTCTTAATTAGAACAAGTTTTCAGTGAGAAGACTGAGCTTCTAGCATGGGGGTGGGCAGGAGAGGGTAGTGAAAACAGGAAAGCAGAAAGTACAGTTCAGCAGAGAAAACAGCTGCACGTATGGAATACGACATGACCACTAGTATGATAGGAGTCAGTTCTGTCTGCTGAGCTGACATGGGACTGGAGTAAACAAAACAGAACATTTTACTCTGCTTCTCTTTCCCCCCAGGTCACCAGGGAGAGAATTCACGCTGTCCTCTTGAATGGCAGGTTAAGATGGAAGAGGAAGCAAACACTGAGTCTTTTTATTTTTCCATCCCTGCTCTTCCCATTAGACAACTCTGATCAAGAAGTAAAGTGAAGTCTCAAGTTAAACTCAATAATAATATTCCAAGACTTTCCCTTGTTCAAAAGCCAGGTACTGCAAGAGGCCATTAAGTATTGTACACACGATAAAGGAAATACACTTCACATCTCAGTCTGACAAAGTTTGGGTACTAAATATTTCTACATTTCTGACTAACAGTGCCTACAACTTTCATGATATTATAGCTCTAATTAAAAGCAATGCCAGGCATGGTGTTACACACCTTAAGTCCTAGCACTCAAGGCAAGCAGATCTCTTTGAGTATGAGATTAACCTAGTCTATGGGTTGAATTCCAGGACAGCCAGAATTACTCAGTGGTGTCTTTAAAAAAAAGGAAAGGAAGGAAGGAAGGAAGGAAGGAAGGAAGGAAGGAAGGAAGGAAGGAAGGAAGGAAGGAAGGAAGGAACTGAACCCAGGATCTCTAGAAGAGCAGCCAGTGCTCTTAACTGCTAAGCTGTCTCTCCAGACACTAATTTTTTTTTCCTAACAGTAAAGATGAGCAAGAGCAGCTGGAGGTGCCAGACTTCATGACCGATGCTCACTGCTGCATCCTTCCATCCTCTGCCTCCACGCACCATCCCTAAAAACACTCTAACAAACAGCTACCAACACCTGTCATTCTGGAATCATGAGGAAAGGGAGTAGGTGGTTATAAGTCTAGGCAGTTACATTAGCCACTTAACAACTAAAATCATACCCTCCTAAAATAATCATTTTGTAGGCTTGCCATTTTTACAACTATTTTTAGAAACTTCCTTGCTGGATTTAGTCATTATCTTATTTCAGAGTTTTCAGTGAAAGGGGAGGGAGGCATCACTGCACAGCACAATTAAGCCTCTTTTAAAAAGACTTATTTTTATTATATATTTTTGGATTTTTGAGCTAGGGTCTCTTTATGTAGCCTTGGCTTTGTTGGCTCTATGTAGACCAGGCTAGCTTCGAACTTACAGAAATCCACTTGCCTTTGCTTCCCAAGTTCTGGGATTAAAGGTATGCAACACTACACCCATCTTAAAAAGATTGTTTGTTTTGTAGAGACAGGGTTTCTCTGTGTAGCCTTCGCTGTCCTGGACTCACTCTGTAGACTGGGCTGGCCTCAAACTCAAAAAGATCCGCCTGCCCTCTTCCTTCCAGAGTGCCAGGATTACAGGTGTGCACCACCACTGCTCGGCTAAAACTATTTTTTTTTAATGTCTATTTCTTCCTTAAAATTACGTGAAGCTGTTTATTCCACTTCACTATAAAATGCTTCCAGAATGAAGAGAAATATTGTTAGCCTTTTCTCCTAAGACACTTTTAATGTATGGTTTCTACACAGAAACAGTGCTTATTTTTATAGTTGATTCATGTTACTTCATATTATCTCATTATATGAAGAGATGAGTTTGTGCGCTGGAAAAACAAAAACAAACTAGAAAACCACAGACATCATTACAAGGCTTTTAGAAAATATACCTGGCTTCTCTTTACACTCAGACGAGACAAGCAGACAAAGATCTTCCAATGTATGTATACTCAACTGGCATTACAGTATTTCAACAAGTATTCAGATAAAGTGGGAAAACTTTTATATACTTAAATAAAAAATCTCATATCATTTGATAAACAATGATACATATATAATAAAGAAACTAAAAATGATATAGTCTTTTTTTAAACAAAAATTCATTTGATTAGTGTACTTGTTTTTCTTTGGAAATGCAAAGATTTTAATTCTTTGAACCAACATTAACATAATTAAGGAGAAAAGAAATTTCAGGGAGAAAGAAGGCAAATTAAGAAGGAGGGCGTAGAACACATGCCCCTCCCCCAGGAAGGACATGACAATATGCATGCTCCACATGGCTCCGTCACGCTCCTTCCCTGGAAGGCGGCTATTTCAGCAAGGTGGCGTGGAGACCAACTACAGGGCTCACTACTCTCTGATGGCTGGGCTTAGTGTGTTATTTTAATTCACTTCTTAAAATAAGAACCCTATGAGAAATAAGACAGCAAGAGCTCAGTACGAGCCATTTTATCAAGAAAGGTGCTAATTAAAGAGCTAATAATGCAATTAGCTATTTTATGTTTTAAACAGGCCATTCTATTCTCATCAATATTTTATTTCAAAGCTTTCCAATTTTGAGTAGCATTAACAAGAGATAAAAATTAAATTTAAAATGCTTTCAAGAATTCTTTCTTCCTAAATAATTGAAAACACAATGCAGAGAAAGTTAAAGTGCCAAGAAGCTAGGATTACAAGTTTTGTTAATTTAGCAATGTCTGTGAGACATTTAAAGTAGGCTAATAACTTGCCTACATCTAAAGACAGCAAGCAGGAAAGCATTTGCTCTTTCCATTATCCCCAATTTCCATTCAATGGAGGTTAAAAATAAAACTAAACTCAGTTAATAAAAATGATTTTAAAGGAATGTTAAATCTGGACTATATTGCTTGTTGATAGTAATTCTTAGTTGTCAATGTCTGGAATTAACTAAAACCTCCAAAATGGAGGGACACACCTGTGACGGATTTTACTTAATTTGAAGCGGGAAGATCCACTCACAATCTAGGTTTTTGAAGAAATACCTTTAATCCAGATCTTTTGAGTGAAAGGACCCACTTCTAACCTGGGCCACGCCATCTGCTAGAAGTCTGTACGAGGACATGAAAGAAGGAAGCTTCTCCCTCTGCCTGCTTGCGCTCCACTCAAGAGCAAGCCCACGCCTTCACGGGCATAAGGGCCCGCTCCTTCAGGGTTCCGGCACACACTGAAGGCCAGCCCTG